GTCCCACTGGGAGGAGGCCCCGGGGAAGACCCAGGACACGCTGGAGGGACTATGTCTCTCGGCTGGCCTGGGAACGCCTCGGGATTCCCCCAGAGGAGCTGGAGGAAGTGGCTGGGGAGAGGGAAGTCTGGGTTTCCCTGCTGAGGCTACTGCCCCCGCGACCCGACCTCGGATAAGCGGAAGTTAATGGATGGATGGATGGCCGGTGTGTGCGCGGGTTTTCACTGCAACTCCCTAATTAGATTACTAATTAGAAGACTGATTGGCTGAAGAGTCCTCACACCTTGGTTTCAACAGCTGACCTACAGGTTATCCCAAAAACCTGCATACACACCGGCCCTTTGCAGATAAGATTGGCTACCCCTGTGTTAATCAGTTAAACAAGTAATGAATAATACAAGTGAAATACTGATCTCATGTTTGTTCATCATTAATGAATCGTGACGCATCTTTTAACTAGTAGCAACTATATTTGTTCATGATTTGTTCATAATTTGTACTTCAGTAGTAATTGAGTTATTACTAAGTATTTGTGCCCTGTCGTAGTGTTACAGTTTTGTCTGGTTGTTTGTGACATTTTGGTTTTATATCTTGTGTTACTCTGTTTGTATATTACTGTGTGTGTGATGGTAGTTAAGTGTAGATAAGTACGATACTGACTGTGTGTGTGGCTTGCAGCTGTGAAAGCAACCTCACCGTGCCCCCAGCTGTGTAAAACGAACACTACTCTCGAGGCTGGGTTCTGCACTAGTCAATTTGGTGAGTCATATACATTTACACAGATTCACCAACGCCATCAAGTTAAGAATTATGTAGAAGCATGTGAATACAGTTCTCCTTCTTCAAACCTGGAACTTGGTTCTGGATGGCAGCTCCATCTGAACCTCACCACCATAAATCTGGCAGTGAGAATAAGCCTAAGCTGGGCAACGTCCATAATTACACTGATGCACTTGCTGAGGACACCTGAGTTAAGACTGTCGGCACGTATGGACAATAGTCATCTCCCTATTTCTGATACCTGCAAGACAGCTGCAATGCTATCATTCCTTGAGGACTTCAGCATTGCTGTTATACCCCCAGAATATAGACACCTGCATCAACAGTGTTTTCATAGCTATATTTGAGGCAAGGGTACTATCATTAACAAATACTGAAACAAAAATAATAACGAAAGCATTTTGTTAATCAAAATCAAATCTAAACGTGCAAGTGAGACACGAAAACAAAACTAACAAAAATAAAATAAAAATGAGTAGAAATGAAAATTTGACTTATATTTTTGAGTTTAAAAGCCTGCCTATAGGCTTAACAGCTACCAGACATCCCTCCTCTAAATAATTGACAGGGAATGTAGCCTGACGATAAGGATCCCAAACAGACAAAATGATGCATTACCTCCCTTTTCCGTAATGGGGGACAAGAGATTTCATTGACTCATTCAACACTTAGAAGAGATCACAAGGTACCAGCCCACAACACGACTGTGTATAATTCATAACTAATCATTCATTATTAAATCTGACTGGCAGATCGATCTTTCATTTCCCAGAAAATAAAAAATGACATGAGGTCATTTTGCTAATCTGTGGCGATAAGCTTGGCAAATTTCATCGCCAGCAACTGTATGACTTAAAATGCACCTACAGTATCTGTAAAGGGTAAACCACAAATTATGTATCTGTAAACCCACACACCCACAAAGATTTGAGCCCTTTTGAAGTATTTTTCAGCTCAATCACTGGCCATGACAAGCAGGTTGTGTAACTTGCCGGCCTTGATACTGCGGACCACTGCTAGACTGAACAGTCTGCTGCTTGCACAGATGGACACTGCAACAGCACAACTGAGAGAAGTGTTAGAAATATATACTTTTATGGTTATGCACTAGGGCATGGATACTCAGCCAACCACCCGCCCACTTCCCAACACTCACACACAATCTACCAAGGGCTTCTAAAACTACAATTAAAAAAAGTCATGTAGCTCAATAAAAATACAATTTAATTAACATGATTAACAACTTCTAAAACTAAACTGAAACAAAACTGAATGGTAAAAAAAATTGTATAAACATATTAAAATTAAAACTAATTTAAAAAAAATGGAACTACAATTACCTTGATTGAAAGTTGCGAAGGTTGAACTGAATCTGTTGCTTCTCCCCTCTGTGTAGTGATCACAGGAAAGGTAGCGGCTGTGGCTGCGAGCGCCAAGGGTGGCCTGTCAGTGACCGTGTCCGACATCCGGGCCTACAAGCCTGGGAGGCTGGTCATCGGCCAGGGGGTCCAAACCGCGTCCGTCAAACTGACCTCCGTCTGCCAGAAGTGCCCCAGTCTGCGCAAAGGTACAGACACATGCCCCCTGTACCCACACACACAGACACCTATTTATGAATGTATTACACTATGTGCATTATTTTCTCCTTGTCTCCTGGGCCAAGTTTCATTTCCATTTTTGCCAAAATACCATTTCCATCTTTGTAGTCACAGTCTTTCTCATTCATGGATGTACTGAATTTTCACATCAACAATCCCTGAGCTACTTAAACATTAAAAATTATTTTGTTAACTGTAATTTGGGCATTAAACACAATGTACTATAGTTTCATGGTCTTTAGCAAAATCAAGAACTGTAAATGGAAGCTATACTCCTCGGGTGACATTCACAATTACATGGACTCAAAATTTGCTGGAGGATTTTTGATTAGTGAAGTGGCAGGATGGAATGACCTTGGAAATGTTACACCTATGTGCTGAGGTGCTGTAATGTCTGGTAATTAAACAAGACCATTATTATCCTACAAGGGATTGTGTTGAGGAACTGCTGTGTGAAGCAGTGAAGCACTGTGCCAAGATTTCTCATGCTCTACGGGGTACGGATCCAGTGGGCAAAAAAATATGCTATATCCTCCTGAGACCCAAGGAAAAAAGTGTCCTTCAATTGTAAGTTATTTGTCTTTGGAGGAAATAAGACATCTTACAATTTAGATTTTTTCAAATGTATTTTTATTTTTAATTTCACAGCATGTCCTCTTTAGTGTACCACAGGAATAAATACGTTTCCTTACATCAGTGAAAAGATGCAAAAACAAAATGTCCACTGCAATGGACATAAATGAATGGGTGGGGTCTCAGGAGGATATTGCCAAAAGTATTGGGACACCTGCCTTTACACACACATGAACTTTAATGACATCCCATTCTTAATAAATAGACTTTAATATAGAGTTGGCCCATCCTTTGCAGCTATAACAGCTTCAACTCTTCTGGGAAGGCTGTCCACAAGGTTTAGCAATGTGTTTATGGGAATTTTTGACCATTCTTCCAGGAGAGCATTTGTGAGGTCAGGCACTGACGTCGGACGAGAAGGCCTGGCTTGCAGTCTATGCTCTAATTCATCCCAAAGGTGTTCTATCAGGTTGAGGTCAGGGGTCTGTGCAGGCCAGTCAAGTTCTTCCACATTAGACTCGCTCATCCAAGTCCTTATGGACCTTGTTTTGTGTACTGGTGCACAGTCATGTTGGAACCAGAAGGGGCCACCCCCAAAACTGCTCCCACAAAGTTGGAAGCATGAAATTGTCCAAAATGGCTTTTAATACTGCAGTATTAAGATGTAAGACTTGGATGCAGCTGCACAGCTATGGAAACCCATTCCATGAAATTCTCTACGTACCGTAGTCCGCACGAAATTTGGAGGTCTGTAGCTACTGACAGTTGGCCGACTTCTGCACACTGCGCGCCTCAGCATGCGTTGTCCCTGCTCTGTGATTTTACGTGATCTACCACTTCATGGCCGAGTTGCTTTTGTTCCCAATCGCTTCCACTTCGTTATTATACCACTAACAGCTGACCGTGGAATATTTAGTACTGAGGAAATTTCACGAATGGACTTATTGCAAAGGTGGCATCCTATCACGGTATCACGCTTGAATTCACTGAGCTCCTGAGAGCGACCCATTCTTTCACAAATGTTTGTAGAAGCGGTCTGCATACATAGGTGTTTGATTGTATACACCTGTGGCTATAGAAGTGATTTTTACACCTGAATTCAATGATTAGGAGCGATGTCTCAATACTTTTGCCAATAGAGTGTATAACAAGTGTGACCTTATAACTGGATGCAAGCCAGAAAATCATGAATCAACAAGATTCTCTTTCACAACCTAAATACCACATATGACCTATAAAAAGACCATGGCTATGGGACAGCAGTATTAATAGCTAAGGAAATCATTCCTCCATGCAACTGTTAATGCCATATCGTAACATCTGAGTGCTGGGTTTCAGAATTAAATTGACAAACTGACAGTTCGATGGGTGAACAGCATATGGACCTTTTCTCTTCCTCAGGGTTAAACTACGTCATGATGGGCCAGGTGGACGAGGAGGGACGTGGTGTTCTGGTCCCCAGCAGTTTTGTTCTCCCTTACAAGGCAGACCACCAGAAGCTCCTGACCAATCTCGTGAGCCGGACTTGCTGACCAGATGGACCAGGTGACCAATCACAGGGCATGAATCCAGTCAACCAGGTGATTGCAGTACTGCAAGCCCGGGCAATTAAGGCTGCAATAACCAAATAGGAAATGAAACTGACATTAAGGAAACAGACAGTTCATGAAGTCCAACATATTCAAGGAGGCATTAGGCCAAAATTAAAAACAAAAAGGAGGCCGAACTGCCTCACAGACAGCATTGTTCAGTGAGCTTTTACAAGGCCTTTGCACAAGTGGCCTTTACGGTTTCATTTTTCGCCATATATCTTCATAGATATCATGCTTTTTATAACTTATAATTGTCTTATGTATTCCTTTGTTGATTCATAAAATATACCTTTCGGCCATGGTGCACGTTGTTTGGTCTCATTCATCAAAGTAATGTGAAGCGATGCAAATGAAGAGGGTTTATTAAGTAGCACTTAACACATGGTGTCACTGTGGCTCACGCCTCAAGCATCTTTGTTAGTTTGTAATGGGTGCATTGAGACCAAAAAGAAGGTTTAACAGGTTAAAATGTGGTTTAAACAGCACTCTTTCATTCACACCATTAGGAAAGAAATATCACTTTTGATGGATTACACGACGTCTTGTGCAGCATCACCATCCTTACTGGCTATTTATACTCCATGATCGACAGTGAGTCGTCCAATGACAGAGGAGCATAGACAGCATGCAGTGCACTGAATGTGAAAGGGTATTCCCGGGCCACGCATGTACTGGGGGCAGCACTTCGGTTTACGTCAAATTCCATTCAAAAGCTTCCTGCTGAAAAGGCACGAACCAAAGCAAACGATGCTGGATCCTTTCTGGAAATTTAACACTGAGCCAATGAGGACACATAGTGGTGGACTGTGTTATGGGTTATGTAGAGAATTAGGAGACCAGAGGGTGCATCCATAAACTGGCTTTGACGCGCATTATAGCCCTGACCCATTCATTGTAAGACTGGCAGGCAGTTCTTCCGCTTCATTTGAGTATGTTTAATGCTGCCTATTTTTTACGTTTCAGACATATACCTGAGTGTGTTACTAGCCACACCATTGAGTCTGGTGAGCTGCTTATATCTGGGGTAGGATTGAAACACCATCTCTGGAACTTAGCTGCTGGTGATGTCTTCTGTTTTCCCTCTGCCTGTCACACGAAACGTTTAAATCAAGAGGCACACTGGCCCTTTAAAACATGCACAGAAAAAATGGTCCATAAGCATTATAATCTTTTTTTAGAGCAGTGTTTTCCTATCCAGTCCTCAGGGACCCACAGCCGGTCCACATTTTTGCTCCCTCCCAACTCCCTGCCAGACAGTCTACATTTAACCTGGACTGTCTGTGGGTCCCCAAGGACCGGATTGGAAAACACTGGTTTATAGGAACACATGAACATGCAGAAGCAAAAAGGAAAATAATGTTGAGATGGGTTAGCAGTGTGCTACTTAGAAGTGTGATCACGCCTGTGGCCAGCCACACACACCAACAGACGCCTGGCATTGTCCTCCAGTCTCTCTTCAAACAGATTCTCACTCACTGTACATTTGAATAATTCAGAGCTTGGCACGGAAATGCAAAATAGAGTCTAAGATCGTTCATGTCGGCATGAGAAACTTTATTAATCCTAAGTCAGAGAATCGTGCATATTTCATCATTATGAAAACTGACATAAGTTTGAGAAGAGACATTTAACACTAGCACACACACAGTCAGTGAAGACACCTAGAAAAATCTACATTTGATTCCCCCTGAGAACGGTTCGCTGTTGTCTCTTCGACATGTTCACATTCATCACCTGTTTTTAAATGTCCTCCCCTTCGTGCCTGTGACATTGCAGCAACTTTACAAGCATTGCAGTGGGAGCGATAAACCTAATAAAACATCACTGTACAGTACAGGTGTGTGACCTGTGCAGACTGCTGCAGAGTGCATGTCTGACACAGAATACAACTTCACTCGGCCCCCTACCCCACGCATTAAAAAACAGTGATTGTATAGTCACATGGGTATTCTACCTCACAGGAAAATGAATAAACATAAAGGCAAGTAAAGGGGTTTAATCTGATAAAGTCTTCATTTTGATTGTTGCAGATTTATGCCACACTTAAGTCTGGCAATGATAAGTATATCATGGAAAATTGCCCGGCCTCTCTAATTGGCCAGACACACAAACACATGGTTGGATGCTTGGCCTCTCCGATTGGCTGGACACATAATCACCAAGGTTACTGCATGACATATATATTTATTTCTACATCCATTCTAAAATGAGGAATAGCCCAGCCCATCCCTCATTTCACATCAAAAGCTTTTTCCCCAGTGTGCAAATAAATACCAGAAATTACTACTTACAACAGCAGCACTTCTTGTTAACAATCTAATTTAACATTTTAAAACAAAGATATAACTGGTTGGTATCATTGCAGTGACTAACATCACCACTGCCTCCAATACTCCAACCAGAGTTGTGTTCATTAAGCTGCATCTTTAAAACGTCACAATAATTCACACTAAAGCTATGGATATAGGGATTGTCTTAAAAAGGGTGCCTATGTACTTTTTTTTTTAACATTTTGCAGACAGACAAGGAAGGTAATTCTGTATAAGCTTGATAAGCAGGCTTAATGAGCACCACTGTGTAAAAAATGACCTGACAAAAGGCGCCAATATGAAACCAAAAACAAAACTCTCAAAAAGAGCAGATTTCATGTGACACTCTTGGTTCTTCAAAGCATTGATTGCAAGTTAACAATCAATTTGCCTGGAGGCCTTAGGGATTGCCAGTCATGTGGTTCCCAATCCGCTTGTTAAGTCTGACCCAAAGCATAACGTAAAAACTGAGTGATGGGTGTAGCTGTTCTCCGAGAAGGAATTATCGGTACATGTTTGGTACATCATTTTCAGTTTTCTATGCACAATGAAACAAATGAACACATTTCTTAACAAAAGTAGAACCTAAATTCAGAAGTAGATATGGAAAATATTATGATAATTGTTGCTGTGAGTTTGTTACGGCTACTCCTGGTTACAGCCAGTCGTAGTCGACGGCTTGGGAACATTTTGATTTCTCAATAAATTATACTCGCACTGGAGAGCGAGAGAGTGATTAGACCGAGATTGTCCGTCAGCTCAGTTATACTGAACTCGGATATGCAGCTGGAAACACAGCCAACATGCTAACTCATTCAAGACAACATCATCTAAATGTATGCATGACCGGAGCAAGGCAGAAACAGCCTCTGTGAGTTAGTCTCCCTGTGGCATTTAGGCAAATTAGGCTACTATACTATAGAGTAAAATAGAACACAGGATTTAATCAATAAAATTATGATGTTATATTTTCAATTGAAGATTTTATTTTATATATGTTACAATATGCAAATAAGTGGCTCATGTTATTCACACATGTCAACGGACGCACTGCCTCTGGTTTACAACTCTTCCTAATTGTTTTTGCAGTTTTAATAACAAATAATCTCCTGCTGTACCGAAATTACACAGAACAGTGAAACCAAAACTGCGGTTTATACTGAACTGTGATTTTTGTGTACCATTATACCCAGAATGAAATGCATGACATATTAGCATTTAAAGAATTGTGACAAATGGCTGTCTAGTTTATGCAGCCACTTCCTCTTCTCTTTTTTGTTACATGGAAAAGGGAAGTCGGACAATTCTTTAGTTTTACTTTTTTTGTTTTGCTTTGTTTAAGATTGATTAAAACACTGAGGCACACGACACTGTATTAGCCTGTACCCAGGTTGGCCCCGCAAACAGTTTCATCATGTGATTTAAACACCGTGACTTAACAAGCGGATTGGCTTGATGAGTACTTCAAAGTCTACAGCAAAACAAAACAAAAAATAATAAAAATTAGACTCTGATATGGCTTTCTATGCAAATTATGGCTTTGATATTTTTTATTTTACTGAAATAAGTAAAACGGAGCCGCAGGAAAGGGCATCATGGGTGACAGCACTGTTGCCTCCAGAGACGCTGGTTTCAGTCCTGCTTCTGCTCTGTGTGTGTGGACTTTGCATGTTCTCCCTGAGTCATTTGGGTCTTTTTGGGGTTCTCTGGTTTCATCCAGCTGTCTGAAAACATGCAGTTAGGCTTCTTGGGCATCTCTAAATTGCCCACAGTGTGTGTCTGTGTCTATATGTCATATGATGGATGCTTTGGAATCCTGTCAGAGTGTTTCCCAGCCTTGCCCCCAATGCTGCCTCATGTAGGCTCCCAGCCCCCTTTCACCATGCACAGGGATGTGTTTGGAAGATGGATGGATGGACCTTCACAAAACGTACTGCCCTAACTGTAATTCTATCCATTCGCTTTACCTAATTTGCCACCAAAACGGTCTCCTGAGCAGTTCATTGGCCTGTGTACTTACAGGCTCTCGGTTCTGCTAATCTGGAGGCACAACTGCCCTGCAGCCAAAAGCATTTGTGTTGTGTCTGCTGCTCTACCTCCCCTCAAGGCGTCGAGAAGAGGAAACGAGACTGAGGCCACAGGAAAAAAGCAGTGAGGAAGAGTAAGACAGAGAGAGATGCAGTGGGAGAACAGGGTAGAGCATAGAAAGAGGTGGCGAAGGATAAGATGAGAAGCGACACTGACTACATTCAATCAACCAGAGACATTTAAAGCACCTTGTAGCTGTATAGGACCCTGTCAAAGGAGACACTGACTTCAACAAGTCACAATGGCCATTCATCATCACACTGGTCTTAGAGGCACCCATGAAAAAATGGACAGACGCCAAGGGAACCTAGAGGACTGGAGCTAGAGCTGCTTGTAAAGACAACTCCACTCTAAGGAAACGCACCAAAAACAATAATTCAACTGCGACTACCATACCGTGCCACTGTCACCCAGGGATGCAAAATATTCCATTTTTAAAATGGAATCGATGGCTGACAAACTGAACTAACAATGGACAGCAGAGGCACACAGCTAGAGGGGGGATATGCATAGAAACTAGCAGAACAATTAACAGAAAGGCCAAACCTATTCAGAAGAGGAACATATGGACAAACTAGCAGAACAATGGACAGAAGGGGCAAACTTACTGAGAAAGGGAGCATATAGAAAGCAGCAGGCAGATGGCAAGGAGGCAAACAGGGAGTTTGGGTAGAGTCACTTTGCACATGCAGCTGAGGCTGTGGCTGCCTACGTTCCCATCTGGCCAAACACACTCTACAGCAAAGCCATAGCCTCCACGGGATGATCTTTCAAACCACACAAGCAGGGTGCCCCTGTATGTCAGACTGATGACAGAGATTGTTCTGGGGATTCATCATGAGGGGTGAAGAAGGTGATGGGGAACTTTGTGTTTAATGTGCATGCCCATGATGTGGGGGGTGGGGGGGGGCAGTCTTTGTGCGTTTCCAGGCGCATGCGGAGGTCGTGCCCTTCGCTCCTGAATTTGTGTATTCTCACTGTGATGGTCGATCATTTGTTTAAGCAAAGCTCCTCCACTCCAGATAGAAGGCATTCGACCAGTCAACTGCAGTATCTAGTTCAGCGCTAATCTGGTTTAAAAATGATTTGTTGAAAAAAAGTCACATGCTTGCTGTTTGCCACTGCTGACAGCTACCTTAGAACAGTACTATATAACTAGATAATGATTTTACAGTACTTGTGACAATTATATTTACGTTAAATGCTATATTTATCAGTTACTCAGAACCTGTGCTCAGAAATCAAATGTTTTGCATGTTAATTTTAGATCATAAAAAAGACTATTTATGACAATCAAACAAGAAAAAAAATTATTATCATTTGTATAAAGCATACCCTGATTTGGAAGCTATGAATCTGTACAATCAGAATTTCATAAAACATACAGAAATGTATTGCCCTGGGAGCAACTGTGCGTCAGACCAGAGGTGCAGTTTCATTGCTACTCGACTGATGAAAGTGACAAGGCATTTACCTCCTATTTGCACAAAGGCAGAAACAAGGCCGTTGACAGCCTGCGTGTACAACAATGATCTTGAATCACAAAAGGCCTTATTAAGAACTAGTTTTCTCATACATGTAAAATGGAATAAAACTTATCGAGAATTGGAAAGAAAAAAGTAATGAGAGGAGGTCAGGGCTGGTGTTCACTGTGACTTGAGGTGCTCTGCCTTGGTGCCCTGATTTCGGCAGGCCCCCCAGGAAAACCAGGAGATAATGGCACCAATGCAGCCCTGCAGGGTGAACATCACACCATAGGTGGAGTAGAGGGTGGGCCCTGCCAGCGGGGGTGGGGCCAAGGCAGGTAGGGTCAGAGCTGGATGCAAGGCAAGGGCCCGAATTTCAGCCTTGATCATGTGCAACTCATCAAGGATGGAGAGGAAGGTGCAGCAATGGAACCACTGGTGGCTGTGGCCCCAGATGTCAAACTTCCCTGGGGACAGCCGCTCGGGGAACTTGCTGATGTTGAAAAGTGCTGACACCAGCAGCCAGAAGCAGTGCCGGGAGAAGAAAAGACCAAGAGATCCAGGGGAGAAAGATGAGGACTGGGCTGAGGTGACTGATGGGCGGAGGAGGCGGTAAAAGACGGGTGTAGATGCCACGATGAAGGGCAACAGGAAGACCAGGGTGCGGATGATGTAGCGGTGCCTTCTCCAGCGCTGGCGGGTGTTGCAGCAGGCCAGGGTGCAGATGAGCGCCACCACACAGGCGCTAGGGATATAGAAGCTCTCAAAGAACATGTGGAACTCTGGGAGGGCCGACGGAGAGGACGAGAAGGAAGGAGGAGGCAGAGGGGGGCCCTCGTGGACTGTCTTCACCTCCCACGTGACATTGTGATGTCCTAGTGCAGTGATCCCAGCCCGTGGATGGATGTAGTAGAAATAAGCTAGTGAGGAGCCCACAGTATAGGCGCTGATGGTGCCATAGTCCACAAAGAAGCAGATCTCTCGGATCAGCAGCGACATGGAGTTGAGAAGGTGAGCCATGCTGCTAGCCATCAACAGCAAGAACACACCGATGAAGTAGTTCCAGAAGGGGTAGAAAAATGGATCGCTGAAAGATGGCCAGCCCTCCCAGCCAAACAGCTCGAGGAAGTGGAAGGCAAAGACGAACACAGCCAGGAAGTGCGTCCAGAAGTTGCCGGTTTCGTTGGTGGGCCGGAAGGCAGAGGCCAGGCACTCGCGTAGACTGTAGTTGGGGAAGCGGTAGCCTGAGAGGATGAAGCTCTCTGTCACACGTTGCGGTACGTCGGTGTGCCTCAGCAAAGGCTGGGAGGGCCGGCTGCATCTCAGCAACATGGTGGATCAGGAGCGACAGTTCAATTACCTTAATGAAATCCTGCTTAAAGGCCGGATCGGATATTGTTTACTGCTGCAGCTTGTGTACGTTCCACTGTCTTCATTCCCAGTCAATGTGATTCAGCTAGAAAGACTCCATCAGACCAAGGCACTCTTAAACCAGCAGTTAATTTCATCAATGAACATATTAAAGTTGTGCAATTCTTTAAAATAATGCTATTCCATTAAGTAAAGTACAACTCATTGCAATTAATCAAAGTCCAAAGGGTTGATTTCCATAGAGGTTTTTCTGGTTGTAATCCAAAGTCCCACTGTAGTACAATGTCTGCTTTCCACAGACAGCAAAAGTCCTTGTGATGTACTGCTGCTTGGGCTCAAACAATAGTTTTGGTTTCAACGTTTAAAAAAAATACGTATATTAAAATGCCCAGAAAAATGTATAATTGTTCTTTTCGCTTCTGCTTTATCTTTGGGTTTCTCCTTGACCTTGCAGTACGTTAGAACAAAGTCACAAACAGCAAGTTAATATTTTATCTGTTTTGCATTACCGCTGTGTCATTCAGCTCATCGTGTGATAATGAATTATCTGTATAACAGTTTTCTGTTCCTCGACGACAATTTTTATCCACAGCAATACAACATTATTTAAAATTAAAATACTTGATCACTGTATAAAAGTATAGTTTTATTAACATACCATATATCATGTTCGACGTCTCACACAGCAATATTCTGCCGAATAACAAACTTAACTTGCATCTAAATTAAGCACCTTGTGAAAGTAGGTCATATGAATCCAGATAGTGGGATTAACAATATATTTTGCTGTATTATTGATGACTCTTCGTGCATTATGTATATTTCCATTAAATGTATCTATTTACCTGTATTTTTCGGTGATCAATGTCTCCAGTCGATTTCGGTAGAAAAAAAAACTTGTCACCTGTATCACATTAAAATCCGCATGCGAGGTAACAGGTCAGAATAATGGATCGCTTCGGGACACAGCGTTTCGCATGAATCCTACAGTTCACTACCTGTCAATGTTGCCCTTTGATTCTTTTTCAGTTGTTTCCGACGCCAGTGATCGCAATATTTACGTAGTTTCCGCATGTTTGGCAATGGTTTTGATACGTGGAATTATTATAGACTCAAAGTTCATTGTCAAGAACTAGCTCAATTTAAATCCTCTGCCTGTTTATTTTCCCCTCTCGGTATCAGGCGGAACAGTTTAGATAAATGGTGCGAATAACAAAATGGTAGATCGCGGGACCGGCTGATATTGAGATCAACTTAAAGTAGCGGAACTGCAGTCACCTTCCTCTCTCTGTTAGCCGGTCATGCGGGTTAAAACGCTGCTTTCTAGCACCCCCAACGACTCTCCAGTACATAGTCTTCGGTGCGTTGTCAAGTCTTGCGTAAAATACAGAACGTGTTACAACGTCCTCATTCCTGATTGAATCTCACAATACAGTAAAAGCGGTCAATGCAGATAGACGCAGTCTGATGCGATGGTATCTGTGATGTCGTATTTAGCAGGAAAATGATCAAACACAAATAATACGTTCTGTTAAAAAATACAAGGTTAAAAACGATTGGTCTTATTCTGAGCTGCCGGTTTTTGTTCAATCATGTTGAGTGAGCTAACCTGCGCGGTGTGTCCTATTCGCACTATCGCACACGGCATCAGTCTTCAAGTGCCGTCATGCAGTCAGAAGCTTCCCCTCTCTCTCTCTCTCTCTCTCTCTCTCTCTCTCCCTCTCCCTCAC